TGCCCATATGTTTTGCCACGTTAACCCCTATTTTAAGAGACTGGATAGAATGGATAGGCAACGAGTTGTGGAATGCTTGGCCGAACATCAAACGTACACAAATAGAATATAATGACATTTCTTTCTTTTACCCTTTTTCTTTTTTCAACAATTCTTCTACTACCTATTCAACCAAGAGGACCTGGAAGTTCCTCGTTATGACTTTTTTAGGCAATATGTCCGTGGATTCTTCATAGAGGCTTTCGTGGGGCTTAAGGGATTCGAGAGTTGCCCTCCCTCTTTTATTTTCTGTCATGGTCAAACTTGTTGAGTGTTGTGGTTTTAAAGCATCAATTCCTAGAGAATCAATCTCTTAAGAAACTCAATCAACCACAATAATCAAATTAAATCAAATAAAAAAAATAAAAATGACACTAAAGATTTTTACATAAAAAATTCAAACAAGAAAAATCAAGAGACATTTGTTTAGAAGTAAATCAATCCACTATTAAAATGTTAAATTATAATATTTAAATCAAAATACGAATCTCTCAAATCTCTAATATTTTAAAAAGAAAAATGCTCTTAACTTTACTCTCTATTTGTCTTCAGACTCTTCACTATTTTCTCACTATTTTTCTCACACTCACACCTCGCACTCATACATATTTTATACTAGAGACAAATATAGGTGTTTTTAGATATAAGGATAATAACAAGTATCCTATCAAGGATTAATTTGTTAACATGTCAAAAACTAGAGGTGCTTACCTCACTTTTCCCATTTCCTTTAAAATTAACAAATCTACTCATTCTCAATACTTCACGAAGTTTCTATATCATTATCAATGCACTCAAGGTGCATCTCCATTGTTAAGCACCCAATTTGGGAGGGGTAGTTCAACAAAACCTAGGTTTTTTAGATCTGTGACTTCGGCCTTCCTCCGATGTTATTGTGTTTTATCCTCCGATGTTATTGTGTTTTATCAGCATTGTTCATTATACATGATTCAAATTTAGAGAGGTTTCATGCATTTTCAACATGATTTTCAATCTTAGCTTCCTTTCCTAACATCATCTTCTATGGATCTTCTCTCAATCACAGATTTGGCAACATTTTCAACCTCTTCAACATAAATCTCGGCATTTTTTTTTTTTATCATCAAACATAAATCTCGGCATATTTAAAGGTTTTAATTATCTCTAACTTCAATCCAACATCAGATTTGGTCACCGACCATCCACCTCTTTCTTCTCCTTCAACTTCAAATCTAGTTACCGGCCATCCAACAAACTTATTTGAGGTTAAAAATTTCTTCTCCGGCTTTCTCCTTCTTACTTTCCTTTCTCACCCTTTTAAAATTTGGGTGTGGGCTAGATCCAATTAACAGTTGTAAGGAGGTTTTGCAGACTTGCAAGTGAGAATGGAAATAAAGAAGAAAAAAATGGGAATTGAGAAAGAGAGAGAGAAAGGGTTAGATGAGGAACAAGTGTAACAAGGAAAAGGGAAGGGGGAAATAAAAAGCTAAACAAAATTCTTTATTTTATTAAAATGCTTCTAGTTTAATACGATTACTGCTAATTCTAACTAACCAGTTTTTTTTTTAATTTATAAAAATGATTTAGAGATAATTTTTTTAAATAAAAATAATTTAAATATTATAATATATAATATATAATATTATTTTAATATAATTTTATATATTCTTTAAATAATTAAATTTTCTTTATTTAAAATATATAATATGAAATTTATTTAATAATATATAAAAATTATTAAAAAAATTATG